TGTACTTACAAACTTAAGTCTTTAAAAAGGTTGTCTACTCATGCATAGGTGTGGGGAGGGCTGTGTGGAGACTAGAAGAGATGCTTGGATCCCCTGGAGCTGGAGTTGCAGATGGTTATGAGTTGCCTGACCTAAGTGCTAGGAACCAGACCCTGGATCCTCCTCTAGAGCAATAAGTGCTCTTAATCTCTCAGTCATCTCTCCAGCCCCTAAACGTGGTACCTTAAATCAGGAATAGCATTTAAAGTGGTTTCTGTAAATGGTAAGTCACAATCCTTGCTATAATTGTGTGTGTTCTTCAACGTATTTAGGACAACATTAGAAAGAATTAGGTTCATGTGTCTCCTAACTTGCCATGTACAATAAAGACAAGCCAGTCAGGTATGATAGCATCTTTAGTGCCAGCACTCAGGAGGCAAAGGCAAAAGGATATCTATGAGTTTGAGGCTAGCCTGGTCTACATAGTGAGTTCCACCTCAGCTAGAGCTACACCGTGAGACCCTGCCCCTCAAAAAGAGAAGGGAAAGATGAGATTCTCACACCGATTTGAATGAATCATATCAACTAACAGCGTTCTACATTAATGCATCTAAAATACTTAAGGGACAGTTTTGTCAAGATCAAAATAAAGTCTTTAAAGCAATTGAATTCCTACAAGCATGTTGGTAGACGCAGCATGTTGCTGTGGGCTTTCTACTTTTTAAACGTGCTTCCCAAACGGGCACACTCACCTCTGGGGCTTTCCAAGCAGAAGTTTTCAGTCCCTTAATCTTATTTGAAAATAGAAGAGGGTAAGGCTGGAAATGTGCCAGGAGCAAGCGTTGGTATTTCTAAAGTGCCACAGTGAAAAGTACCTTCTCTCACTAGTCAGTTCCTTTTCTCAGAACCAGTCCCATCCAGTCTCTCCAACATGGCTCTTTCCAGAAAGCCTTCCACATCCAAGACAGCACAGGTTAGGCAACTCAGTAGGACTTTACCTGTACGCGTGTCTGTCCATATACTTCCGTGGGTTTCAAAATCTACTATCCAAGTCTACACTACTGTCACTTAAAATGCAAAAGTAGGCGTGTGTGTGTGTGTGTGTGTGTGTGTGTGTGTGTGTTCTTCAACCCCAGCATTTGGTTGCCAATGGCAGGAGTGTGTTCATAGCCAGTCTCACTACGTATAAGACCCTATCTTAAGGGGGGGGGGGCAGACATAGTGGTACGTTCCTTGTCTGTTCTGTTCTTCTTAGGAGTAAGAGACAAGAGAAGAAGGTGAGGTCTAAGAATAATACTGGGGAAGAAAGTGGCAGAGTGGGAGCACACAAAGGGGTGGCGATTAACTGTTTTATAACTTTCTTCTAGTAAAAACCACTTCATTATTTAAGTGCCCTTTCCTTTATGTCTGGGCAGGACATGTGACTACAGGCTGGCCTTGACCATTGTGGGAAGAGGGGAGAAGGCAACAGGAGTCTCCCCACATCACCCATCTCTGACCTGAGATCTAAAGAGAGACATTTACTCAAAGCAAATGATGAGTCAGTTCTTCAGGTTTCAGCTTGGTAAGGGTCCTTGGCCAGATCAACTTGGAAACCCCGGAGTCTTGATGAGAAACCATAGTTCCTTGAACTCTTGCTGTTTGGGTGGGTGAAGGACGGGTGTCAATCTTTTGCCCTTTTTTCTTGAATTTAGCTAGATGGGAACATACCTGTAGAACATGAGGCAGCTCTGGAGATGGTGGTACCGCCCTTTAATCCACTACTCAAGAGGCAGAGGCAAGCAGATCTCTGTAAGTTTGAGGCTAGCCTGGTTGACACATTGAGTTCCAGGCTGGCCAGGACTACATCATGAGACTCTGTCTAAAAATACATATTTCAAGAGCTAGAGAGATGGCTCAGCAGGTAAGAGGGCTCACAGGTCTTCAGAGAAGCCTGGTTGTGGGTTCCCAGCACCCACATTAGGCAGCTCACAACCACCTAGAATTCCAGTTCCTGGGAAAACAGCGCCATCTTCTGGACTCCATGGGCACTCCCACACAGGTTACACATAAAACTTAGCAAGCGTATATGCATATCCATAAATAAGGTAAAAATACCTTTTAAAAACAATGTAAAGGAACAGTGTAAGCTTGGTGTAAGTTCAGTTGGTTCCTGATTTAGAATAGTTCAACTCCACTTTCCCAGCTTGGTCACAGCACAGAGCAATAGCACCCATCAAACCATGCTGGGAATGTTGGACCCTGATCCTTCTCCCCACTCAGAGTGTATGGCATGCTCTCTTCTTACAGTGCTGGCAGTAGCTCCCACTCAGCTTGGAGCCAGATGGGAAGCAGCATCCCCCTGCAGTGTGCTGTGTTCCTGAGCTGTGACATCCGTTCAGTTGCCTGGATTAGTTTCAACGCATTGGTTCATTTTCACGTGTTACAGAATATCTGGGTACACTATAAAGATGTGTCTCTGTCTAGGGCACCTTCTGATAAAGATGTGTCTGATTGGTTTAATAAAGAGCTGAATGGTCAATAGCTAGGCAGAAGAGCCTGGAAAGGATTTCAGGGAAGAGAGAGGAAGAGGAGGAAGAATCTAGGCTCACAGATTTAACCAGAGACTACAATGAAGTAGGGCATACAATACAGAACATAGGTAATTGAGCCATGTGACAGGATGTCGATTAATAGAGACAGGTTAATTTAAAGAGCCAGTTGGAAAAAGCCTAAGCTAAGGCCAAGTTTCCATAATTAAGTCTCCATGTCATCATCAGGGAGCTGGCGGCCACACAAAGATGGTCCGACAAGAAAGCTTGCTGTATTCATGTAGCCCCAATCAGGGAGCACCTGCACTTTTAAAACATCAAAATTAAAGTTATGACTTTCTTTATTTCCTCTGTACAACTCACCCGGTATTAAAAATTCACTTCCTAGTGAGGTACTTCTGCCATTTATTGCCCAGTTCTGAGCCTTTCTGAGCCTCTTTTGTCAGCTGTAGAACCCTTCTCAAGGCTGCTGTGGTGAATGAAGTCACTAAATGCTTCAGCATTTGCTGCTGTCAATATCACAGAAACACCTCACTACTGTCAGTGAAATCTCGGTTGTGGTGGCTCTTTACAAACGTAGCCGGAATTGCTTGTAGGTTGCTTCTCTTACATTCTGTATGGACAATTCTTCCAAATGCACATAAAAGTTTTTTAAATATTATAAATGATGGTAAAGTACAGTATTGCCAAACCTTTTCCACTGACAGTCACTTTTTTTCCCTGTGTGTGGTCTTATCAGAATGCTACAGTAAATAGTTTTGTGCCCTCCCTCTGTGTATTGTTATACTTCACCAAATAATTTTTATTTTTTAATTCTTTAAGCAACACACACAGATTAATCTCCAGAAAACATAAAAGCAACTGGGTAGTGAGGGAATTTAGAAGTCAAGTAATCACTGTGAGGCGATAGAAGGGTCCCTGGGGCTTGCTGGCCAACCAGTCTAGCAGAATTGGTGAGGTCTTAGTTCAGTGAGAGACTCTGTCTCAAAAAATGGAGATGTAATTAAGGAAGACAGGCAACATTGACCTCTGGCCTCCAACATGTACACACAAACGCACAGGCGCTTGTGAAGATGTGTATATGTGCACACATACGATTAAACAAAGACAGGCATAAAGTAGGCTAATGATGGGAGAGCAAATGGAACCCTTAAAAGTCACCCAAATGATCTGGGAAAGGACTTTGTGACTGAAATATTTCTCCCTTTTAAAACGATATCAAATCATCCTACTGTAGTATTTTTAACACACAATTTGTGTCGCTATGCATAAAATATTGTTTTAAAATAACCCAAAGGAATTCAGGAATAAAAATGGAATAAAGATGCAACAAATAGAAAACAATAGCAATTTCAATTCACCATATATGGGAATCACAAATGTACGTGGCATAAATGCGCCAATAAAAAGGCACTGATGGTCAAAACTGTGCGCTGTCATCTCCAGCAGACTTACAGGTAACAGAATCAGGCATACTATGTAAATACTACTCACAAGAACAGTGACAGGGCTACATATAAATGTAAAGTAGACCAACATGTGAAGCTTTACCTTGGATCAAGAAGGGCATGCAGTAATGATAAATGGTCAATTTACCAAGGTATAATCCTAAATCTCTATGCCTTAAGGAGTTCCAAGGGCGTGACAAGCTGACAGAACTAAGAGGAATAATAGACTAATCCAGTCTTCCTTGTTAGAAATGTCCGCAATTTTCTCAGAAGTGGACAGAAAGTCATTAAGATGGTGGGCGAAAAACTGGCAGAAATGTTTCTATTGACAGGAGACAAGGATCTTCCTCACACAGTTACTACACAGGGCAGGGGTGCACCAGTGTAGCCAACCCAGACCTGGAATTTCAGGAAGACAAAACCGGAAACCAATAAGAAGCCACAAACAACAGGGTCTCTACACAGCAGGCTTTAAACTGGTTCTGCATTAGAGGAGGTGACTTGGCGCTTCTGGTGAAGGGGTTCGTCAAGCATGATGCCAAGTGTCTACCCTGAATGCTTTGCTCAGGGTGTGGCAGAGGGGGTAAGGGTCAGAGACGGTTTGAGGTGACCCCAAGGAGAGCCAAGAGGAAGCTGCTGTTGCAGGCAGCCAGGATGAAGGGAAGGATTTGGGGGAGCCATGGACACTATATTGTGTAGATTCTTTAACTAGAGTCAAGCAAACCCCAACAGGGAGGCAACTTCTGCAGGCAGGGTCTAGCAGGTCTCTGCGCAAGGCCCGCGCGCGGGGCAGCAAAGCAGGGGACAGAGAAAGTGAAGGGTGGCTAGAGCCTGCCCTCGGGTGCCTGCACCCCGAGAGCTCAGTGCCTGGGGACACTGGGGTGGGGGCAACGCAAGTCTGGAGCACGCTTGGAATGCCAAACCCACCCGCGCCCCAGCAGCCCACGCTCCTGCACCCCCTGGCGGACACGGGCGGCGGCGAGGGGGCAGGTGCTGGGTGGAGCCGAACGCGCGGGGCGGGACCAGGCGGGCGGAGGGCGGTGGCACCCGCGGGGCCACAGAGGCCGCGCGCCCAGCCGGCCCGCACCGCGCCATGGCCCCGCGCGCCCGGCGGCGCCGCCCGCTGTCCGCACTGCTGCTGGCGCTCTGCGTGCTGCTCGTCCCGCTGCAGGTAAGGACCCGCACCGCCATCGCCTGCGGTCCCCCCAAGGTCCAGTTCTCCTGGAGCCGCCGCCTCACAGACACCGGGGAGGGTCGTGAGGGCTGGGGTGGACCGGGAAGAGACCTCCAGCTGGAGCGCGGAGTGAGCGAAAGACAACAGGAGAGATGCTGGAGCTCGGAAGGAGGAGGTTTGCCAAACCCAGACACCAGGACCGGGGGTCTGAGGAGCGCTGAGCTCTCTCAGGTGGTACCTTGGAGCACCTGGTAGGCACCTCCTGCCTGTAGCTAAGGCGCGCCTCTGTGACACTCTTCAAGATAGCATCCTTAGACCTTGGTAGTGATCCCTTATTAAAGACTGCTCCCCTGAGGGTCTGCTTTCAATCTGTGAGTCCCTGGAAGCGCAGAGTCCCTGACTTGGCCGTCACACCTTCCCCTATCTTAATTTCCCCTCCCTCTTCCCTGCGAGAGTGGAGAAGTGCAGGAGGGTTATCCTGAGTGCGCAGAAAAGGTAGAATTTGGAAGTTTCTTTGGCAAAGGTGACCAGCTTTCCTTTTCGTGGCTTCCTTTTTCTCCCCCTACCCCCAAGCAGCTTGTGGACGGGCAGGAATTGCTTGTGTTTAAAAACCTTTGACCATGTTAGGATGAAATATGTCTTTGCAATGACTGAAACTAGGGTAGTGGTGCCTCGAGCCAATACTCATGCCAGGAACAAGCCTTGAAATCCTTGCCTCCTCCTGGGATGGGTCTGGGGCCCAGTGGCGTTTGAAATAAGAGGCCACAGGAGTACACAGTGTTCGGGGGCTAGGGCCTCTCTGGGGCTCTTCAGGCACCATCAATAGCCTCTATAGAGGAAGAGGGTAAGGTCCATTGTGGAGAATACCCTTCCGCAGCAGCCAAATCTCAGGAAGAGCTCCCAGATCCCTGAACCCATCCCTTCAGGGTCCATCCTCATCCCCACACTTAAGAAGCCGCTAAGCTAGTGTTTGATAAAGAGCTTGGGCTGCTGGCAACTGAGGGGTTTTACTGAGGTTCCCAGGAGTGATTTCTTTACCACATCATTCAGTGTGGCAGCAATCCAAAGCATGCAGCCAAACGTTTGTTTCTGTCCTGGTGGACCCAGCTGTGTGCCGTGAGGCAAGCTGTATATGTAACACTTCACTCGAAAAGATGTCTTGCGCGCCTGGTATTGGTGTCAGTGAGGTTTCTTGGCTCAACAGTTATATTCTCTTTCTTCTGTTAGGCTTCTGTGAATGTCACTGCCCAGGGAGACCTAGCTGGGTCTGGGGGGAGGAGAGAGGAGAAAGTCACCTTAACTAAAATCAGAACTGAAACGGTGTAAATGTGTGCGAGGTTGGAGCAGAGCTTGATTCTAGTAGGTTCATTCTACTCCATTCCCAGCAGAATGCATCATCCCTTAGCGTGGCAGAAGGAAAGAGAGGCACAAAGATCTAATGGAATTGATTACTTTGAGCACTCCAAATGCTGCCTAGTGAGGTTTTTGTTCAACAGGTTAGACAGAGACCTACCGTATTTGAACTAAAAAAACTGGGTCTCCACTGAATAGCTAGCTGCCTAGGAAAAAAACCCGCCTGACCACACATCGTAAAGGAAAAAAAGTACACACATGCAACAAAATAGAAGAGCATTTGGAACTAGCCATGGCCTCTCGTATTTTGTATGTATGTTTGAATGCATGCATGTGGTGGATGTGTTCTTGAGCACGTTGGGGATGGAACCTGGAGCAGCCAGCGTTTCACCACCGAGCTGTATCCCCAACATCATATGCTTTTCTCATCTCTGGATGACAATTGTGCATGCTACCCGGGTCCCTTGCTATGCTGTCTTATTTGGTGAGCAATAACCCAAAAGTTGCTACATGTTCAACATAGACACAGATTTTTAAACCGTGCCTTTGATCAGCAGTTGTTTGAATTGTGTGCAGAATTTGTGGGCACAGTGGACTGAGCATATATGGTATAAGTTGATCTCTTTGATCATCCCGTTTCTAACTTCTATTTCCCTTCTGCTTTTCGTTAAGTTATTTAATTATGTTCATTTTTTACTTGTAACAAAAGACATTTTTAAAAAAAAACTCTATTTGTGAGGGGTGGGCTAGAGGTCAGACTTCCAGTGAGCAGTTCTCAACTTGCGGGCCTCACCCCCTTTGGGGGTCAAATGACCCTTTCACAGGGTTGCATATCAGATGTCTTGCATAGTAGATATCCTGCATATCAGATATTTACATTATGATTCATAACAGTAGCAGAATTGTAGTTATGAAATGGCAATGAAAATGATATTATAGTTGGAGGTCACCACAGCATGAGGAACTGTATTGAAGGGTAGCAGCGTTCGGAAGGTTGAGAGCCACTGGGTCAGAGGAGAGTCCGGGATTCAGATCTGTCCTTCCACATTGTGGGTCTGGGAGGGAGGCTCAAATCAGAAACTTAGTGGCAGGTATGTTTGCCTGATGAGCCATTTCACTGCCCAAAAGATATTATTTTATTGTTTCCCAAGAAGCCTGTTGGCAATATGTGCTACTAAAATGCACGCCAAATGACAGGACAATGAAGTGTCACACTGAGCATTAATTGTATGCATTTGAATAATACACAAACTTCTGTATCAACCATTTCCACTCAGGATCTGGGTGCTCTTGGTGTCTCGTTTGTGTCCAGCCTCCCGAGCGGAAGTTCCTGCTGTCTCATATGTGTCTGCCTTTATTTGCTACTGCATTTGTTTTCAGAGCTAATGAAAATACGCCTTTAAAAAAGTTTAAGTTCCAGTGTTGGTAGCTTGGCTATTTATTTAGTTGCACAGTTGTCACTGAGATAACTGTGCATATATACACTGTGTTTCCTAAGGCTTCAGGGCTGATACCATCAGTGGACATTTACAGAGTGTAAAACATGCTGTTAAGAAACAGGACAAATGCCCAGGTTACAGCCTAACAGCAAAGATGATGGGAGAAGCTGAGAGGGCAATAAAGAAGTATGTGGTAAGAAAAGCATGGGGCAGGGAGGCAGAGGAGGAGGGAGAAGGTGGAGGAGGGGGGAGAAGGTGGAGGAGGGAGGAGGTGGGAGAGGGAGGAGGAGGGAGGAGGTGGAGGAGGGAGGAGGAGGGAGAAGGTGGAGGAGGGAGGAGGTGGAAGAGGGAGGAGGAGGGAGGAGGTGGAGGAGGGAGGAGGTGGAAGAGGGAGGAGGAGGGAGGAGGTGGAGGGAGGAGGTGGAGGACGGAGAAAGAGGGAGGAGGTGGAGGAGGGAGGAGGTAGAGTAGGAGGGAGAAGGTGGAGGAGGGAGGAGGTAGAGTAGGAGGGAGGAGGTGGGAGGAGGAGGGAGGAGGCAGAGGGAGAAGGCATGCTTTTGGGAAGAAGAGTTTTCCCAATAGTCGTGGAAGGATGGAGAAATCAAGCTTCAGAGAAGAAATGATCCCAGAGGTGGGTCAGAAAGAGCTTTCTAGGTCAAGGGGACGGTGCCTGTGGTTTAGACACAAAGGGATCTTGCCAATGAAAAACCACTAGTGTTTATGACCTTATACCTTAGCATAAGGCCCCGAATTCAGGAAACGTGCCAAACAGATGAGCTATTAAACCTTTATAGTTTTGAGATAACTCAGACGTGGCCTTTACCGTGGTGGTAAGGCAGACTAATAAGCAAATAGGCCCTGGAAAAGCCTATGGAGACCCCTCCAAGGAAATCCCCTAGGGTGTGGTTACGTTTGTGCTCTGAGCCACACCTTCTGAGTTCAGCCAGGAGACCTGGGTATGGATTAGCTTTTTGTTTGAGAACATGGACGCACAGTTGTAAGCTTTCAGATCTTAGGTTGATAGGATTTAAGGTGCCTCTCCTCTTCCTTTTGATCTCCTAGACTGTCTGTAATAGGCTCATTCTCTGCTTCTATGGGCTTGCCCGGCACTCGTCCCTATACTAGGAAAAAAAAAAAAAAAACCCCCCAAAAAAAAAAAAAAACACGGTAACAATAAAGTTGTGTCTCTGTAGGTCAATAAATCACTGTTTTATGAGGCCCTGGAAAGGGGAGTTCCAGACTCAGCTCTTGTAGACTGCTGTTTGAGAAGGCGTTGAGTGAGCGTTATCTGCAGTGCACGTATCAGAAAATAAGTCCCTTGTTGAATTTTCTTAATGTTTGGAGTGCGTAGAGGGAAAGTGAACAATTTTCCCACCTCAGATGTCTGATGGATTGTAGAAATGTCTGTGCTTTTTGCCCCCTGACGAGTGTCTGTGTCCTACCCTGATAGTCCTTGGCCGTCCAGTTATTTCACACCCTAGGCATCTCCCCCTTCTCACCCCCCACCCCGAGAGCTGGTGGCTTTTCTCTCCCCCTCCTGCAGCTTCCTGTCTTTACCTACAATGGCATCTGACCACCTTTGAGCCACAAGCCTGTAGCTCCTACCGCTGTGTATTCCTGACTGGGGGATAGGCTTCTGTCCTGGGCAGTTTCTTCCTTCCTGCAGTTCATCCTGGCCCACGTTTGTTGTAGGGTTCCCTCTGGGTGCTTGGGTCTCTATTGCTAGAAAGTTAAGAGACAGTTTGGTTCTATTCATATTGTGTGCCCACAAACACCGAGGCCAGAGAAACCAGGAAGGCGCTGTGGGCTTCTGCCAACAGGCTTGTTCCCTCCGAAGTTGGTCAGAGGCTTTGAAGCTGGAGGTCCTGTGGGTGTTTTTGTGTCCTGATTCTGAGAGATGAACGAAGGGCGTTTCCTGCCAACGCTCCCTTCCAGGCCCTTTGCCCTCCCCTACCCCTCATCACCTCCACCCCTCCCCGATTCCCACTCCCAACACTTCCAGTCTGCCTCTGTCACCAGAGGGCTGGCTGACATCGCTGATCCCACAGCAGCATGTTCCCATTGTCTCTGACAAGCAACCGAAAGAAGCAGCAGTCAGCAGGTGGGAACACATTGCTTTCAGCTGCGTGATGACAACTTTATATCTGCTTGGTTTTTTTTTTTTTTTTTTTTTTTTGGCTGCCAGCAACCTTCAGCCTTTGATTG